CTGACGAGGTATGGGTTGATAGGCTCCACCGCACCTACAGTCACCATGATACCAAGAACACGTTTGGAGTAGTTGCTTGAAGTTTTTGCTTTTTTATTATTATTATTATTATTATTATTATTATTTATGGGTGATAAATTTAAATTTAAATTTAAATTTAAATTTTAAAAAATTTTAACATTTTTTATATAATATTTTTAAAATTTTCATATAATACTTTAATCAATAACTTTCACCCAAAAGAAATTCTTGAAAAAATAGGTCTTTAACTAAACACACCCTTAAAATTAGAAAAAAAAAATTATTTTAACCAATTTTTATTAAAAATATTAAAATAACCTTATTTTTAAAGTATAATTGCACTATTTTATTTTTTTATAATGTGCTTTATTAATTTTCTTTTTGATTTTTTAGAAATAAAACAAATGGGTACATTCTTTAAAAAAAAAAAAGAAGAAGTCGAGTTTTTAATATGTACTTTAAAGATGCATTATTACATCTTTTTATTATTATTTTATATAAAAATTACGAAAATAAATTTTATTCTTAACAATTTAATTAAATAGTTAATAAAATTAAAATTAATTTTTATTTTTTATATAAATTAATAATAAAAATTATAATAAGGGCATATGTTAGAAAATGCTGAAATTCTAAAATACTATCACTTAATAAGATAAAATAGCTAACAATTTAAGTACTTTAATAGTAATATCTTTTTAATTTAAATAAAATATCATAAATTTAAATTATATGATATGCGAGTAGAGGTAAGTTAAAGGCTAGGAGATAGTTGACTTTCATTGAATAATCCAAGATTAAAAAAATAAAATAAAATAAAACCCACAAAAATATAGCAATGGAGGAAAATCATGAGGTCAGGTAATTAAAAGCTAGAAATGATAAATGAAAATATTAAGGTATTCTTAATAATTAATATATTTAAAAAAAATAAAAGTGCATTTATACAATTTCATATAAATATGAAGTAAATCTCACATAAAATCTTAATATTTTAAATGTTATTAGTGTTCTAATTCTCTCTTTCTTAAAAACTAGTAAAAAAAAAAAGTCTAGGAACTCTATGTGTCCATTTCATGGGCTCGTAATTACGGGCTTCGGCAATATAACACACCAGAAAATCAAGGGCCATTAATTCGGTGGGCTAAAATGGGCTTTAATTTTTTTCTCAAGATTCATATATGGTTTTGGCCCAATCAAAATGTAATTTGAAAATGAAATGTAAAATCAGTTTTTCTTTTCTTTTTCTTTCTTTTCTTTTTTAAGTTAAGGTGATAAAATCCTCAAGAAATTTTCCTATAGTAAATCAGAATAATATCTGAGCAGCTGCTTGATTCTGTCCCATTTGATTTTTAAAATCAAAGGAGAAAATCTAGTAGTAGCTCTTTTGCTACATTTAATTTTCTTACAAGCAATGACAATTAAGTCAACTTAGATAGATATGCCTGAGATTCTAAATAAAAAGGTACAATATAAATTTATATCACATGGGTTTAATAGAGTCTAATACCCAAAAATAAAAGAATAAAAAAATAGAGACAAAGAAATCAAAGCATTTTGACCCCCCCCCCCTATTTCCTACTGTAATTAGCGCCCTTTATAGGTCAAAAGTTCCATATTTCAACCCAACTTGGTTTCTTCTTTGTAATTTAGTTGCAGAGAATCATAGACAATACCAACTCATCTTAATTGTATCAAAAGAGATAATATTGTCTTATTTCTTTATTTATTTTATTTATATTTTTATAACTTAAATTTATAATTTTTTATTCTAATTAGAAAAAAGATTATTATTAAATTGTATATTGTTGGTCACATTATAATAATTATGATATGCTTTTTATACACAAAGGAACATATCATGAAAAATGATTCATGAATTTAAAAAGACATCTTAGGTCCCAAAAAAATACTTGAATTTGTGCATGTTAAACAAATGTTTATTGGTGTTCCTTTTGAGATATATACCATATATTCCCTTCATTCAAAAAACACTAATCTTAAGAGGACCATTGCCTTTGGCCAAATTTAATACAAGTCTCAAAGCACAAAGACTGGCATGCTCATATTATGTCAAATGTCCATCTGTCCAACTTAAATTAGTATTGAGAAAAAAAAAAAAAAAACTCATTAACTGCATCTACATGTACCACCATTCTTTTAAGTAAGTATTAAAAAATCCCATCAATTTTTTAAATTTGCATTATGAAATGTAGCCTAAAGTACTACCAGTAGACATGAAGCATTTTATGAGGTACATAGTCCACACTCCTAATGATTCTTTCTTTCTTTTTCTTTTCTTTTCTTTTTTTTTTTTTATGGTCAAGCCACTTAGGGATTCTTAAATTTGTTTAATTAACCATTGAACAAAACCTAAGCAGTTTTCTGGTTATGAATCTCATTATGAGTAATGAAGATTTTGCATGTCATTTCAATCCCAACATAAAAAATAGAAAATAAAACTTGAATGGAAATTTAAATTTCAAACAAAAATACTAAGGTTTACTAAGTATCAAAAATTTATTTACAAAAAAAAAAAACTTGTT